GAGGGTGTTGTAAAATGGGTGCGCTGTCCTGTATTTAAAATACACAGCGCCTCATCGCGGATAAAAGATTCTAAAAGTCGACCACGAGTGCCAGTCGTGTCGCATCCCCACGCCAGGCTATGGGCATTAAAATCGCCGACTACCAGGACCGGAGGTGGAAGCTCATCGACAAGTCGATGCAGCTCAACCACCGGGAGCGCTATACCTGGTGGTAGGTATAAAGAGCACACTGTCAGTTCCCGGTGGTTGAAATCAACTCTGGCGGCCACCGCCTGCAGGGGAGTCTGCAGCGGCACCTGGCGAGCAGGTACGCTGTGGTGAACCGCCAGAAGCACACCTCCATGGGCAATGGTAGGGGTGTCCAGGTCTCTTCTAAAAACAGAGTAGCCCTTGATGGCAAAGGTAACGTTTGGCGCTAGCTTGGTCTCCTGGAGACCTAAAATAAGGGGTGTGCGCCAACGGATAAGAGACTGTAGGTCCTGGTAGTTGGCCCGGAGGCCTCTACAGTTCCACTGTAGAATAAAAGGCGTGGTTAAAAAGGCGCAAAAAGGGCGCGTATAACATGAGGCAAAGGCGCACACAGATACCTGACTGACCACAAAAAAAGGTAAAAAGCACCGAGAGAAATGCACCTGGTAAAAAAGCGCAATAGCGCGAAAAAGATAAAAGGATAAAAGAGGAAATGACTAGACTGAAAGACTAGACTAGGTCCTCTAACTCCGAGGAGGCGCTCCCCCCGTAACGGATACGGGGATGCCCCGAGCCCTCTCGGTGTAGCCTCCCTTCAGCAGAGGCAGATCGGGCGTGGCTCGAGCCCTGCTGGGGCTTTTTCGCCCGGGGGGCGTCACCCTCCGAGGGTGACCAGCTCGGGGGCGTCTGCCGCTTGGCGAGGCGCCCTGGAGCCGCGGAGGTCTGTTGCCGCCCCGACGGGGATGTCGAGGCGGCGGCCTGTGTCCTCGACACAGGCGTCTCTGGCAGCGGCGGTGGTGGCCGCCGCTGCGGAGGTGGAGGAGGCGGCGGGGGACCCATGATGGGCCGAGTCCCCGCCTCGGGTGTCTCCGGGGTGTCAGCGGCAACAGCCGCTTTGGCACTCCCGGAGGCGGAGTCGGCAGACGAGGCTTCCTTAGCCTCGAGGGCCTTCTGGACGAGGCGAGCCCTCCTCGCCTCGCGTGCCTTCCTCTCCTCCTCCCCCCGCCGCAGCGCCTCCTGCACCGCCGTGGGCGGTCGGGGGCGGGGCGGGGTGGGTGGCGCCTTACCCTGCGCCGGGGGGCGCCGACCACCCTGTCGGCGCTGGACGACGGCCCAGCCGTCTCCATCACCGTTCGCGGCTGGAGCGGGACTGGGTGGACCCCACACTGACTCTAGAGCAGCCTGCTCTGTGTTGCTCGGCGGCGCACGAGGCGCCGTGGTGTCCGCTGAGTCACCAGTGGCTACGACGGTGAGGCCGAATCGTTTGAGAAGCTGCACGAGCTGTGCTACACTCATCTGGGAGGCATCGGTAGAGTTTGTGACTCTCACCTTCTGGGCATACGAGGTCTTCGGGTGACTCTGGTTGTACACCTCCCGGGCCTCTTTGAAAGACAAATTTCTGGTAGCCTTGATGGTCATGATCTCTTTCTCCTTGACGTATGCAGGGCAAGACCTATCATACGCGGAGTGCGGCGTCTGCCCCTCTCCGCAGTTGACGCATCGGGGGGTCTCCGAGTCACAGGTTTCGTCAGTGTGGTCCTGCGAAGCACACTTGGAGCACGTGGGTCTTCCTCGGCAGTTGTCCTTTGTGTGGCCGAAACGTTGGCAGCGGAAGCAGCGCATGGGCGCTGGGACGAAAGGCCGCACGCGAACCTTCACGTAGCCCACACGAATCTCACTCGGCAAGTCAGTCGAGTCAAACGTCAGAATGATGTTGTTGGTCGAGACCGTGCCTCTCTTCGTCATGATGCGGCGAGCCGCTGTCACGCCGAAATCGGCGAGCCCGTCCGCAATGTCCTCGTCGCTCACTCCCCTCAGATCGAAACAGTTAATGACCCCTCGTGAGGAGTTCTTAGATCGGTGAGGTTCCACTGTAAGCGGGATGGAGACGAGCCTCCGGCCGGATGCCCGTCCCTCGGAGAACACGAAGCGAGTAGCGTCCAACGCTTTCGCCGCCTCCTCGCTTTTCCTGAACTCGACCTCCAGCGCGCCATCACGCATCCGGTCACAACGAGCGATTGAACCAAACCGGTCGCAGCCATCTTTCCGCTGGAAGGGCGACAGAGAGCTCAGCTCCCTGTCTGCGCTCCGGAAGATAAGGATCTTAGGAGATCGTGGACCTTTGTCGAGCACCGTTCGCCTGTCGGCCGAGGCCAACGGGCGAGGATCGGCCGAGGCCGAGGGATTGGACTGGGGGGAAGGGGGATCGGTCAAGTTATCCATGTGAAAGAGTTGGTCTCCGCCAGCTCGGCCGCCGACGCTCCGCAACGGCGCCGCTACAAGGCCTAGGACGGCCGAGCTGACTGTACGGGACTTGGCGGCACCTTCCGCGGGGGAGAGAGAGACTCACCACCCCCCACGGTCGGATACCGCCTCCTCCCTTGACGCCTAGCCGAGTCACCGCCAGGGGCAGCGACAGATCAGTCCCACCGACGGAGGACGAGCACAAGTGCCCGAACCCCGCCGGCGACACCTCTCCGACACCACCCCCGGCGGCGTCACGACTGGGAATGGCTCCTCAAGTGCGGCGCCCCACTGAGTGTCCCGCCCTTACAGAACTCAGGGCCAAAGAGGCGTGTTGCCCAGCCACCGCGACTGGCTCCGCACGGTGGGGGGCTCAACCTCCAGGATCCCGTTGTCCTGGGGTACGGGTCGGCTCGCCTAGCCTAGTAAAACCGGCTGGTACCCGAGGGGACGCCACTCCCCTTACACTAGCCCAACTCGGCTGTGTTCCTGCGGGTGCAAAAAAAAAACGAAAAAGGGGGAAGAAATCAGAAAGCTGTGATCGAACGAAACGCGGACATCCGGTGAGAAGCAAAGCAAAAGCAAACAAAAGGTGCTCAAGAGAAACAAAACCACGGAAACCAAGAAAAGTCGGACCGTACCATCTGTCCATCCAGCAATCAAAGCAAGTCGCAAGCAAGCATGGGTCAAGCTGGGGCCGAGGGGGCGCTACTCCCCTTGCTGGCCGAGGCCAGGGCCGCCGCGGGGCAAGGGCCCAAGGAACCCAGTCCAACAGCAACCCAGGCCGCTGCCAACCCCCTGCGGGGCCAATCCTGCAGACAATCCATCCAGTAAGCAAGGCAAGTCCAGGTCAAACGCGCGTCAAGCTGGGGCCGAGGGGGCGCTACTCCCCTTACTGGCCGAAGTCACAGCCGCCGCAAAGCCGGGGCCAGATGACCCCGGTTAAGCAGCAGCTCTGACCACGGTCAGCCCCCTGCGGGGACGAGAACTGTAGAGAAATTCTCGTACTGATCAATTAGGACATTCAGGGGAACATTATCAGATCGAGCAGATCGCCCAAATGCCGGTGGCTGCGATAATTTCTCTGTTTCTGAAGAATTTTCGGGACCCATGCTCTTATCATACTGGATCGCGTGTGCCTTACAGAAACTGAAAAGTTCTTCCTATATCAAAATATAGAAAAAAAATATTTTGTTATAAAAAGGTTTTATTTTCTTTGCTGATTATTTTGAACATAAAAAATAATAAATCGTTGCAAAAAAAAATAATTTCGTGAAAGTGAACTATTTCCTTTAAGTTGTCAATCTAGCAGCAGTTTCGCCCTGCGGCCGACTCTGGAGAGGTTTCGGGACGAGACGTCCCAGCCCCGGTCGTCGCGTGCTCGAACTGGCGAGCCGCCCTGAGTCTACCCAGCGGAGGAACAGCCGCCCAAGTGAGTCACTTGGTGTGGAGATAGGTATGGAAGACATTGCTGAACGTCGCCAAGCGTCGTTAAGTAATACTGCAGTGGGTTCCTGCGCACTGCGGTATCGAGGGGAATGAGAGCGCGGATGACCTGGCGAAACAAGCGGCCGCCCTGCCCTCAACCGCCCCCTCGCTGACCAGGGCGGTTCATTGTGTGGACTCGGATCAATGGCGCGACAATTGGTCCGAGTCACTATTCAAGCCAATCCTCGGGAGCACGCCACCGCTCCCTTTCCCCGGAGAGGACCAAGAGGACGCCGTTTCGCTGCACCAGATCCAGATGAGGGCTGGCCACTTGGGCCGCTCGCTCAGTACGTGCACCAAATCGGCTGTCTCCACTCCGCGGCGTGCCAGCAGTGCCCAGACAAGCGGTGCCCGAGCGCCCTCTGCGCCATGCGCCGAGAAGAGGCTGATGTGCCGGAGCATGTGCTGCTCTGCTGCCCGGCCCTCGCTTGCTCCCGCCAGTCTCGAACGCACTCCTCCACCGATTTATGTGGCTCAGGAACTTCCGGCTCCTGTTTTGTTTCACGGCACGATGCTACAGTGCGCTAAGCATATTGAGGCCCGGGTTTCCATGGAAGTAAAAAAACTTATTCAGATGCTCCAAAATGGGAAGGCGTCCAAAGCCCCGGAACGCTCTGTCTGGGCCTTGATCAGCAGCCGCTTCGGCAACGGGCTATTGACCAATGAGAAGCAAAGAAAGTGCAACATCACTGTGATTTTTCATATACCTGTGCCCCCCGTAGCACGCTTTTCATTGGTCAAGTCAATAGCCCGTTGCCGGGGCAACTTGCACGTACGTGTGGGCGGGCTAGCGAGCTAGCTGGCTGCCAAACAGCACCCTGGTTGATATAATAGCCTTGATCCGTAGGTGTGCACAGTGCACATGTGCTTTATGCAAGTTGAAGTGGCTAAATTATGGCACAAATAGTGAAGAGGCACACAATTTTTGGCACAAATCCTGCAGAAATTTCAGCGCAAAATTGCATGTGCCAAATTTCAGTGCAAGAGTGTCTCACGGACAACAGGCATCCAGCATAAATTTCTCAATGCCACAGTCCATTACACTATCTTCACCTTACATTGCTACCTACCCTACTTACCTCAATTTGAATTTGAGTTACCCTCAGCATACAAATCAAATCAAAATTGAAATAAGTGGGTAGTCGTGAAGAAGGCGTCACACTGTTGCGCCCTGTCTTGGTCTAGTTACGTTTAAAACAAATCAAATGCCATCAATACTTATATCTTCGCGGATATTAGTCAAAAACATAGCGCTCTATATAGGTGCCTGGCAACACCTAAATCCGTTAGCAATAATTATATTTCTCGATAGCCTAAATCTCCCAAAAGGCACAATTTTGCAATCATCCCCATGTGGATATTTTTGTTACGCGCAACAACTGTATTTGCTGCGTCATTTACTTGAAAAATGATAGTACTAATTATGGGCCTGTTCCAGCGCCTCCAGAAACCTCCAGAAACCTCCAGAAAGCTCTAGAATCCTCCAGAGAGCGTTCCAGCGCCTCCAGAAAGCTCCAGAAAGCTCTCGCCAAAGCTCCAGAAACCTCCAGTAGCCTCCAGAGAGTTGAGAGGTTCAAATTTCTCTGGAGGCTCTGGTCTACAATTATGGCGCACATGTGACAACCATGAATGTAAACAAAGGACTTTTGACTGATTGTTTTACAACTTGAATGTAAATAAAATTACATTGCTATAATTTTGTTAATCTTTCTTAATAAAATTAAAAAGAAATTTTGCGTTTCAAGAGTGAACAATCGTCATTCTTTTGGTATCTGCGATGCCAATCTCCAGAAATCTCCAGATTGCGTTCCAGCGCCTCCAGTGAAACCTCTGGTAGAGCCTCCAGTCAAGAATTTCTACTGGAGGCGCTGGAACAGGCCCTAAAAAATTGTAGACACACGTTAAGCCCGGCACATTTCAAGTGTTTTTGGGGCATGGTCATAGATACAAGAAGCGTAAAATAACCAGTCACATGCAAATTTCCTGAAAAATTCATAGTTGTGTGCACTGATGGTACCTATTCAAATTATTTTATTATCAATTTCGTGCTTAGTATTGGGGTGGTACTGGGAAAGAAGTACTGGGATGATAAAAGTACTCAAAACAAATTCGTTTGTGGCCTGCACGTAAAACACAAGAAATATATCAGTTTTTTAAGGTTGAAAAAATTCAAAACTGTTTTGACAAATCTCAGTACTTAATTCATTTTTTCCAGTGCCACCTCCTAAGTCAAATAAAAATACTTTTCACTTGTCCATCACTATACGCGGAAGAACTCGCTTAAACTTGCTTCAATATATTTAAAAGGAAAAATAAACAAAATTAGTGATCATGATAGCAAATTTAACAAAATAAATGATTTTTATCGAAGAAGTGCATAATTGATAGTTTGTCAAGACAAAAGACAAAAAACAAAATCAGTTAAACCTAAACTACTTTCATTACGCCTCGCCACCAAACATCTATAAAAACTTTTTGAAATTCAGTTTGAAAAGTGGCGCGCGCGTTGTTGGATGATTATGTGATATTTGTTTTATATTGTCTTTTTTAATTATCCTTCTCCTGTCCTCGTAAGTCGTAAGGTGAGTGATGACATTATTTTGCCCTTCACCTTACTTTGATGGATAAATATGCATGAAGATGAAGCTGTTCTGTAAACATCGAATTGACCTGTGTCGTCAGGATCAGGATTGCCAGCTTTTCAATTTTGATTAAGACTCTTCATTCAAACGTTCTCTCATCTCTGCTCGAAGGCTGAGTTAAATATATTTTAATGTGCCTACCTAATTTTAACTTTTTTATCAAGTTATCAGTCATTGGCAATCCATACTTTCCGCACTGGCGCACTGCTCGGCTAGTGTGTAGGCATGTGGCAATGTTGATAAAATCATGTCGCTGGGATATTCAGCTGATGTGTGGTGTGTTGTAGATTTGCTGTAGTGCAGTTGATTTTTTCTGGAGTGGTACAGATTCTAATTAGGCCATGTTCTAAATTACTGCACTGGTGGCTTCCACAGCACTTTCCATAATGATGCACTTGGTGGTTGGTCAATACCTATGTAGCCTTTAATTGAGGTCACCAGTATCAAATAATTCTCCTCACAGTGGTAAAATTTATTTTCATTGGTTGGTGTGGGCTAATGCTGATATTCAGCCTGGTTGGGGTGATTTCCTCTTTATGCACCCTTTAAAAACTGAGGAATTTCACAAAACAAGCATGAAAAAATAACACCCTTTCAATGTTGAAAAGTGGGATCATGGGATCATGATGCTAATGATACTATACACAGCACGTTTAAAAGGTACTGTTACATCCAGTCACACACTAAGTCAGGTAAGGTTATGTTATGTTATGTTAGTCAAGGTTAGGTCAGGTTAGATCTGGCTTAATTTCTGCTTGTAATGTACCCAATTTTGTTAGGATTAAATGATCATATAATGACCATATTCTTATTCAATTTGTCATATAACCCTCAGAGGTTGGACACGCCACAAAACCCAACCCCCTCTTATTCAATTTGAGCCGAGGGTGCAAAAAGGGCAATTTCACCTAGGTTGGCATGCTGGTGGGGACTTGTTACACCATGGCTGGTGTGATTTTCTAGCTCTCAGCCATGCCTTGCAGTCTGGTCATATAGCATGTCTGATATGTTAATGCAAGGAATAAGTAAAAGATAGGTAACATGCACCAGCCTGAGGATGCTGTGGTCCAGACTGCAAAGCATGGCAATGGGGTCATTGAGACACCAATTAGGGTAATTTATCTTCACCAGCTGAAACCAACCAGGCTGGAACTCCACACCATCTCTCACCATCACTTATAAATTGTCATTTCCTTTTACAAAGATGTGCTAGTGCAGCAGTTCAGCTCAGTAGCACATTGGGGCCTGCACTTCCTTTGGTAAAGTTGCACTGTGTCTGCGGCTGTATTACAGTTGAGTGCTCTTGTGCTATTCAGTCCCTGAAATGGCTATGCTTTGCAGTCTATTTCCATTATGCTGACTGCTCAGTACAATTCAGCATTGCCTTTCTAAATTTCTTACCTCTAGCACAAACTTCTTACAATCTTTATTCATAATTCCTTACTGTCAGTTTATGTGGAATGGTCATGAAATACTTTTGTTCGTTTTAACCATTTACTGCACAACTTGCCTGTTTGCAGGTGAACCGGGCTTTCTGAGATGGCGCACGGTTTCGTCGTGGTGGTACGGCGGACCGGTGCCGAGGGCTCGTCGTTCCCGCTAGTGACCGACTCGTGCATCATCGGCCGCCACTCGGACTGCGATGTGCGCGTCCAGCTGCCCACCGTATCCCGACACCACTGCCGCGTCGACGTCGGGCCAGACGGACAGGTCAGTCAGACGCAACGTCTGCTGTTGGCTGATTTATTGTGCGGTGTTTTGATACCTACTGTACGCCCTTGTCATGGGTTTAGTCATGTTGAAGTTCGATCTGGTAAAATTTGCCACCTACAGGGAGGGTGTCCCAGAATCACCCGAACATTTATTTTCAGGCTAAAATTACAACTGCGCTCGATGCTAGTGATATACAAGCGTCATACTTTTATAAGATATCCCTTGGCTATCGATGTTGGTGACTGTGTACTTTTGGTGACCAGTCACGAACCGAGTCAATTATTATCCAGTCAGGTAAGAGTAGTCCTCCGTTTTCAGCCTAACCCTCGCCAGGCGAGGGTCTTTTCCATAACACGGACGGCGAGGGGGGTGGGTTGGTACGACCCCCCCTCGCGATTGGCTCCTATAACACTTGGAAACGCCAAATTTACAGACTAGGTGGGTCCATAGTAGATCTCGCCCCTGTGAAAGTTTGGTGACTCTAAGTCAATATTTGGGGGGGGGGGGGGGGGTTTGGAGGGTATGAGTGCAAAATTTTTGCTAAAACATGTCAAACGTTTTTCGCTTATAACTTTTTACCTAGTAAAGATAGAGCAAAAATAAAAGCACCAGTGAACTCAGAACGTCCGTGCGCATCGAATGATATACTTTGTTACCAAGTTAAGTTAAGTAAACTCTGGAATTCAGTTGCCGCTAAGCTAGTCCAATTTTCCCCTGACCTTGTACCGGTTTTTGTGACCTGGTGATTTAAGTGACCTGACCTGAAAAGACTGGGACTTTAACTTTTCAGGAAAGGTGCGAAAAGGTTTCCCCCAGAGGGTATGTCAAATTTGGCGGCGCTACGCGCCGTTTTTACGTTATTTGCGTAAACCTTGGGGGGGGGGGGGGTGCCGCCCCCGCATAGTGTTTTTGCGCGATAGCTCCGAACACGCTGGCGATAGAGAGCTGAAACTTGGCATACCTGACCTTTGATCCAAGCCGGATCTTATGACACCAACCGCATTTTTGGGTCAGGTCAGGTCACTGACCTATGACGTCATAAGTGAACCTCTGCACGGTCTTCAGATGTCGCAACTTCGCAACGCCCTCACTGCCAGAGGAGATGTCACAGGGAAATGAAACTTGCAGGATCTAGTATCCATTATGAGTCTCACAACTTGTATATCTCGGATTTTTCCTATAGGTCATATGAGGTCAGGTCATTTTCGTGACCTCGCCATTATAAGTCAATGGGGAAAAATGAAAACTGCTATTCTGGCGCCGGGAACGATCTCCAACTATCTCAAGCACACAGAATCGTGATTTGATGCACTCTTTCCAAGGCTAGATGCGTCACTTTTGCAATGTTGACCTTGCGTGACGTCATTTATGACGTCATCAAGGTCATATTAGTTTTTCGTCAATAACTCTTGATCAAATTGAGCTAGCGAGTCGGGAAAGCCACCAATGGACTCAGAAAGACCTGCCGAATCGAAGGATATTGATATGCGACATGACCTCATTTGACCAACTTCGTGACCTGGGGGTGCTGACCTGACCTTGACCTGAGGTCAACACCCCAAGTTGACCTGACCCGAACGAAACGTATATCATTCGACGCGCCTGAGCGAGGCGAACACGATGCTGCCAAAATCGTGGCTCTGCGGCCGTTTTTTGCGAAGTTATTCACCAAAAACTGAACCGTACCTTGGGGCACTTGACCTGACCTCAGAGGTCACCGGTTGACCTAGGACCTTAAAATCGGGTACCAATCTCTGCGTCTCGTAACGGCGCACACGCTCGTTTTTTCCGCGACGCGCTAGCTCCACCAGGGGCGAAACGGCGAGGGGGGGGGTCGTACCCGCCCCCCCCCCCCCCTCGGCCGGCGCGTATGTAGAAAACCAATAGGTCCGGCGAGGGTTAAGCCACTAATAGGCAACCATGGTGAATCAATTCCCGTTCTCAACTTTGCAAACGGACTTTCGGCATGGTTCTTGCTGGAGAGCTTCAGCAGCTCATCTGCAAGCAGGTAGGATTGAGCAAAGCGCAATTATATCAGCTTACAAAGCCAGAGAGAGCAAGAGATAAATAACCTGATCGACAAGCTTGGTCTCGGCCAAAAAGGGTCATGGGACAGTTGTCAAGCGGGTTGTTGCCTTGTCATGGACAACAAACGTCACCGATCTACCTAAAAACTAGCTAAACGATAGATCAGGATTGTCTACAAAACATCAATCTATTTTGCAGTTTGCACCCCTATCTTTGACAAAATTTTGGAATTTGGGGTCCCTCGCCTGAAAAAATATGCCAAAACTACCGGAAAGGCAGCGCAAATAGCTACAATTCATCCCAAAAACTTAACATATACAACAAAAAAGTATATTGATTATTGAAGCACACTTTGTGGTCTAACGAACGAAGGTATGCTGTCATTTGAACCGCCCGAAAAAGGCGTGTGTGGACGTCAGATGGCTACAACACCCCAACAGTGGAGACGGCTAGGCAGGGGTACGGAGCCGGCATATTTTGCCCCGAGCCGGAGCCGGAGCCGTGAAACTATATAGCCCGGAGCTGGATCCGTCAAAAAAGGGGGCGGCTCCGGCTCTTTTTTGAAGAGGAAAAAAAATATTGAACTAGTTCGGTTTAACAGTACATACCAGGCAGTAAAACATGTGTTATTCAAAATAGCCTTGTTAAGCAAAAACAGAAGGAACGTGCACCAATCCAACTCCAATCGCCTTTTTTCTACCACCCGTATTTAACCCTCGCCAAAATGACGCAATTTTTGCGCTATTTTGGTCATTTTGCGCCGCAAAATGCGACTGGGGTAGTCATTTTGCGCCGCAAAATGACCATCGCAGTCGACGCGCCCGTAAACCCTAATGAACGAAGAAAACCAATAGGTCCAGCGAGGGTTAATTAATCGCATAGGGGATATACTGAGTAGGAGCGGGAGCCGGACCATTTTACTCGGAGCCGGAGCCGCCATGACAATTCATCCGGAGAGGGAGGCGATATTTTTCTCCGGAGCCGGAGCCGTCTGAAAGTTCCACGGCTCCGCATCCCTGCCAGGCATCCATCGAAAATCAAATTGCGAGACATTTTGAGCCACGGTGCACTCATTCAGCTTGATATGATGGCCTAAAGACAACTGTTAGCACAAAGTACTACTGCGGTATTGTTCTGGCATTACAAAAACTGCAAGATGTTTTACTTTACACCGCTATTACTAGAAAAGTTGTGAATTGATTTTCTTATTTCTTGCACGAGAAGATCTGCAATTCAATTCTGGACAGGTAGCCGAAGTTTCACATTAATCTGTTTTCGGTGCGAGTTACTGGCGAAAAACATGAGGGGTGGGCGAAATACCCCCCCCCCCGTCCCACTGCGCGTGTTAACGCTGCTAACGCTCTTCATTTTTGAAGGAATCAAGACGTAACAAAAAAGGTTATACGTGATTTTACTTTGTCTATCAAATGGCTATCTCGTTTTTTTTTTGAAAATTTTGGATTTTGGCCCACATTTTTTCAGAAAACTGACTTTTGGGAAAATAATTATTAGATCCAAAATTTTGAGTCGAAAAAAACCGGAATATATGTCAGAGAAGTGGTCTATATGCACCTACATACCAATTTTTAGAAGAATCGGTTCAAAAATGATGGGGGTTATTCAAAATTTTATGGCGTCACGACACAAAAATTTTGGAAAATGAATTTTTGGAGGGGTTTTAGACTCCGAACGGAAACAAAAATAGCATCATTCGATTCGCCGTGCAAAACTGCATCAGATAGACACCTTTTTTGGCATTAACAACCAACTTCAAAATTTGAGCTCACTTGACCTGACCTTGACCTGAACTCGACCTGAAATTCATCCAGATGTGGTCCATATCACTTATTGAGTGTGCCTATTGAATTTTATGAATAAAATGACCCATATAACAAGTGTCGCACGTGCCCTTTTCTATATTGGGTTTTTGGTGACCTGACCTGACCTTGACATTGACCTTTGCATGATACCTATTGTATGCAACGAATATTGTCTTGGTAGCCTAAGAACACGTTTTGGGCAATCGGTCTCAGTCCATTCTTCGGCAACTACGGTGCAAGGCCGATACTGTAGAAACTTGCATTTTGTACCCTTGACCTGACCTTGACCTGACCTCTGACCTACTTAAGCAAAAAAAAAAAATTGGGCTCTTTATATCCGCCTTGTTGAGAGCTTTCGATTGCCGTTTCCCCGTCTACGACCATCGGTTCGGAACTTAGACAGGGGGGCAGAATCTGCCCCCCCCCAGCAGGGCGCAATATGGCTGAATAGTCAAGCGGGGGGCGCGGTTTAATATATTGACAGTGGCTTGCTGGATACAGGCGGAGATGCTTTCGTACCGTCAGCAATGTCGCCTGTTAGTATGAACGTGTGTGTTTGTGTGTTCTGTTGCAGGCAAGGCTAGCAACGCTGTCGAGCACCAACCCGCCGCTGGTGAACGGCGAGGTGGTGGAGCTGGACCAGCCGCGGCCGCTGCGCCACGGCGACCTGTTCACCGTGGGCGAGCGGACGTTCCGCTGGACGTACCCGGAGGGCTCGCCGCTGGAGCTGCCGGCCGCCGGCGCCGGCGAGCAGCTGCCGACTCCGACCCGACGCCGCAGCAGCGGCGCCCGACCGCGGCCCGCCGCCGCCGGCGAGAAGGAAAACGACCCGGGCAGCGGCAACGGCGACACGGCCGGCCAGGCGGCGCCCGGCTCCGCTGAAGGTAACGGCCTGCTCTGGCTGGGCCTCGGGGTGGTGGCGGCGGCAGCGCTGCTCACTTTTTGTGCCCGCCGGCCAAACGGTCTCGTAATCCACCTGGACCGCGCCTGACTTAGCCCCTACAGGTGACGGGCACGAAATACCACGAGACGATCTGTGAATAACGTCTGACACTCGACTGCTCCCACCTTAAATGGAGCTACCAGTACGATCTGAGATACCCGCTATAAGTATGAGATACTCAGGCTTGTTACGACTTTGTCGCTGCGAAATCCTAGCCCTGCCGAGTGACGACTCTGCGACGGAGCTGTTGAGGGTCACTGTATGGAAACATGTGATACTGATTTAAATATGGTGCCTAAGCATGAGAACATCGAAGCCAAGTACAAATTGACTCTTGTCATTTTAGCATAATACATGCTTACAACAATTAAATTTGTTTCCATTCAATGATTCTCGACAGCTTTCGAACAAAATAAAAAAGTCAGTTCACATTGCGGGGAGATATTCCGTTATTTCGTCAATAAGTTACTCAAATGGCATTCCGGTATTCAGATCATTTCGACGTCTTTGTTTAAGCAGCACTATGACAAGTTAATTACTTTTAAGATGTTCTAGATGAACGACTTAGCGTATTTCTCATTTATCAGTTTTGACTAATCGATAGTTAGTGTGTCATTTTCTGTTGTTTCTGAAGCACGGATATTGGCGATATTGAAAATGAACGATTACTATTAACACTTTCCTAGCGGTCAGTGCAACAAATCGCGGAATAATTTGCATGACGTACTGACAGACGCGTTTCTGATCGACACAGTTTATGTAAACGGAATTTCCATTCGTTTTTGTCCCTCCTGACATTTTAAGAACGCAAGGTGACCATAGATATTAGGTGGCTGAAAATGTTTCGCAAACTGGTAGGTGCGTGATGGTATCTTTTATTCAAAACAACTCGATGGTAAGAGAAGGCATGTTTAGTGAGAAAACTGTACTTTAGCTTGACCCAGCGTGAAAAAAGCTAGAGTCGATAGACTCCACCGTTTCCTAATGGAACACCTCGTCTCCTGTAGGCGGGCGGCCTCTCAAACGAATTCACTCGGAGGAGGTGCTCTCAGTGCTGGGCGCCAGCGAGGCCAAACGGAAGCGGGTCTCGTTCGGTCCGATGCTGAGTCCGGAGCAGTTCAACCGGAAGCTGCCGCCGTCGACGCCGGTCAAGAAGGGCGGCCGCCTGTCGACTCACACTCCGCTGGTGCAGGTGGGTGGCCGACTGGAGCGGTGGCCGGCTCCCGGACCCGGCCAGCCGCGCCTGGCTGGCCTCAGGCCAGTTTTGCCAACAGAAATACCACCGACTCTGGTTATATTTAGCCGTTAATTTCGTCCACAAGTTTCACCAACCGCGCGGAAAAAACAACCGCTGATGTGAAAATATCATTTATGAAGGCTGGTATTTTTTTTTCACATCAGCGTTTCCACGTGTCAACGAAACACGTGGGCGGCTTTAGTCTAAAAATATAACTCTCAGCCGGCCAGATTTCTGTCGGCAAAACTGACCTATGATCCAGGAAGTACGATTTACAGGGTGTCCCATAAGTTCGTTCTCACCTAAATTTTACGTTTTTAGGCTCTCTTGCTTAAAGGCACGCTGAAATTGGTTCGTTACTGGGCTTACGTGGTTGCCATGGCTGGTAGAAATATGCTCTAAAGTAACTAATTTCTGTAGACAAAATAGTTTTTGCTAGAGAGCCCGTTTCCTATACAGACGGCTAACGCCGCAACATAGAGGTCTCCAATACGGGTACGTCTCGGTATTTAGTCAGCACGTGACCATTCGCGACGATTGAGGGTGATTGAGGCCTACCAATCTGTAGACAATGTCCATCGCTAACTGGACGCACAGTCAGCAAGTGACACCGATGATTGTCGGGAGTCAATCATTGCAAGTTTATCCTCTTTTTTGTCAGCTCTCAGGAGTGAGCCATGTGGCCAAAACTGTGTGGCGCCAAAGTGGCCATCAAAAAGGTCAAAGGGTTAGAAAGTTGGTAAGCAGACTTTTCAGGATGGATTACCAGCCCAGCTGTCGAGTGTTCTTTCGGGGTACATAACTCAAGGTGACTTAAGCTTTGCTTACCGGAGGGCTCAAAACAGTCAAAAACGTCAAAAAAAAAAATGGCCAAACATAAGTTTCGTTATGCCAGAGGCTAAAAAAACTAAAGGGCTGAGGACATCAACCAGGTCATCTGGACTAACTAGTCCACGTTCGAGATGAAAAACCCGTCCAAACCCGAAAACAACCCCATTAAGGGCGAAGGAGGAGTTTCGTCCCGTTATGTTCCTATGCGAAAGGCCAAGGTCACGGTATTGTGGGGTTATAGGCGTCCAGACGCTGACCAGGTTGCGATTGGTGTCCCAGAAACAGCTTTGGGAAGCATAATGCTTTTCCAAGAACATCTAGGAGGAGTTTCAACCCTCAAGCTGAACTCGAACCGCGAGTATGAACACATTTATAGAGGAGAAAATGGCATCCGAGAGGTCGTAGGCCCATCTTCAGGCAAGACAGTGCATCAGTGCACAGGTCAAGCAAAGCTTAAAAGCGGTGCAAGGAGACTGTGACAGGCGTTTCTGGCAAAACCATATGCCAGGCACCTCATCGGATCAAAATTTCATAAAAATTTGTTGGTTATGCTGAAAATTAGGCTCGTCGAAGCGTAGCGCTGTTCCAGCCTCGAGGAGCTCACGACGCATGTCAAGTCAGTCTGGATTAACTTTAAGCCTGCTATGCAGCCAAACATGCCGGTTGGCATGCCGCAGCATGTGTTCATGTGTTTGCCTATTAAATGGGGAGCACATTGAGGGGTCACAAATATATCAAGACGCAATGTACTCTGTTTCACATGCAAATATAATGTGAGAACGAACTTATGAGACACCCTATATTTGCACCTCGGACGGTCCGTATGCAATTTGTATTGTTATTGTGCTATGAAGGCATCGAAAATCGTATCGAAGGCAATATAGTTAGAGCTTGACCCGTGCCCCGACGCCCCGCTGGGGCTCCTGGATTTCCACGATTTGCTGGGTAAAATTTCGGCGACTTCCAGGTCAAACTTGGACAATATTCGACGAACGGGCGCATAGCTCAGGAACGGATGGATGCTGTGGCGCTGCGGAAAAGCGCATTCGAAAGTTCTTTTAACGTTATTTTTTTAATACTGTCCTCAGCTTTGACCTTAGGTCAACGGTTTAGCATGCAGGGTAGGGTGTGTCACTAATCGCAATGCAAGGTGCTCCATCGATTTTATTGTGCTCCACTCATGTGGAAAGGGCGTGGCATTGTTAATTTCCCGCAAATTTTAACCCCCAGGCGGCGCCGAGCGAGAGAAGTTTGCCCTATCTCACAACATAGGCGACCCTAGCGCCCCTGGCGGCTGTTTGCGAAACTAACAGGCCGTTGACTGTATGGGCTTATCCCTGCTCTCTGTAAGCGCGTCTAGGGACAAATAATAGTATGGGCAGATTGCAGAGAGTGCAAGCTAATGACGAATACCTATAATGAATACAATATATTGTCACAGGGGCCCAGGAACATTCTTCAAGTTGGGGTGCAAGCCCAAAATACCTGACATGACGCATATGAAATAGTAGCGTAGTCAGGGGGTCCCAGGAGGCACGTGCCATCTACTCCCCCCCCCCCCCATATCGCATTCAGAGGACCCCTCGGCAGGGTTGGCAGAGGGTGGCAAAAACTGGTTTTTGCCAGTGGTTTTAACCGGTTTAAACCGGCTGGCAGAAACCATGGTGGCAAAAACTGGCAGAAACTGGCAAAAACTCAAGTGGCCAAAACTGCATTGCTTGCCTAAAAAGCAATCGGTTGAAATATACAAAGTCATGTCTGTCATTGGGACCCAGTAAGCATTGTCTCGCTAGTTTACCGCTTCTTAAAATGTCTGTCGGTAGTCAATAGATGTCCACCAGGAAGTGCGCTTTCATGCATCGCTGTTGGTGTGCTTCTGCACATGAGCATATGCAGGAATCGTTTCCGACCAGACCTCGAGAATGGCTGGGTCGATTGCGCTCAAATTGGGACACCGTTAGGGACTGATTAGTAGGGTGTCGTGCATAGTCGGTCGGGGTCCATTTTGCACGTGCGCACGTGCGGGGTGACGCTTCCAGATTGGGAGAACGGCTACGTCGACTAAGCACAAATTTGGCACTGACACTGTTAGGAACCGGTTCGTAGGGTCCGGTGCACAAGTCAGTGGCAGATGCCCTTTCCCACTTCTTCAATACTCGCCAGTCGCCGCCCACCGGCGCACTTTCTCATTTGTCTCACCAAGATGGCGCCTTATTGGTTAATTATAGAGGACTCACGGAACTATTTAACACTTAAATGGTCAAGATACCACTTCTGTTTGAAAGCATATTGTATTGACTGAATCCTACTTAAAACGTGTCCTGCTCAAACGCATGTAGAGGCATAGCGTTTTGACTGTTTTAGTTTTTGCCAGTTTTTGCCACTTTATGCCGGTTAAAACCGGTTTAAACCGGCAAATGGCAAAAACTAGTTTTTGCCGGCAAAAATGCCAACCCTGCCCCTCGGGTCGGAGGGGCTCTGTGGCACCAGTTTACCGCTCAGGGTCTATGCTGGCCATATTTCGATTCAGAAAGAATAGGGCTCGTAACAGCACCTCGTGAGTCCAAAGAAGCCTCACTAAATTGTCCATGAGGGTTACACGCCGGCTTCTGAAGGCTACTGGCGGCCTCTGAGGGCCCTTTACCGGCCTCTTATGGCTGCTAGCGTGCCTCTGAGAGTCCTTGCCGGCCCAAGAGGGGCCATATCTAGGGCCTTACGCCAACCTGCAATCAGTAATGGCCTCACACCAATGTCTCTGACGGCCCCATTACGACGACTGTGAGACTGAGGGCCCTCACTGGTGCTTCTGAGAGCCCACCCGGCCATAAAGACCCCTGCAGTACCAACTGACCTCTGAGGGTCCACGCTGACTATATTTCAGCTGAGAAAGACCTCACAGGTCTCGTAAGAGCACCTCATGAGCCCCTAAGTAGCCACACTAAGATCTCCGTCAGGGTCTACGCCGGCTTCTGAGGATTCCATAACGGAGACCGTGAGGGCCCTCAGCAGGGCCTCTGAGGGTTCACAACCAGCACCTCTGAGAGACCCACACCAGTGGTTCTAAGGGCCCATAAGGACACCACTGAGGGTCCCCCAAGCCAGTGCCACACCATTTATGCAACCCTATATTGGTGGCTCTGAGGTACCCACACCTGCGCCTGTGAGGGTTCGGCAAAAGCATATCTGACGGCCACCTACCTGCAACTCTGAGGGCCCTACACCAGAGACTGAGGGCCACACTGGCGTCTCAGAGTACCTTGTCGGTATCTAAGGACCCCACAGGGCTTCTGAAAATGCCGCCGGCCTCTGTGGGCCCCTTGCCGGTCTGAGGTCCCCCTCCCCGGTCGTTGAAGGCTCCCTGCCGACTTTTAAAGGGTTCGCACCAGCAGCTCTAAGGGCCACACGGCACACACCCACATGTAACGGACCCACACCAGTGTCTCTGAGGGTCCACAACGGCGTCTGTATTCTGTGAGGACCCTCACCGGCGCTTATGAGGGATTCACACTAGCACCTCTGAGGGGCCACACGGGCGTCTGTGAGGACCCCATACCAGTGCCTCTAAAGGCCCTTAATTGGAGGCTCTGAAGGCCCTGCATCGGTGATACTGAGGGTCCTACCAAAGGCACAACACAAGCCATTAGTCTCCTTCTGAGTCCCACACGCCGCCCTCCCACCATAGGCGGCGGAACGGGGAGGGCACCGGGGCACCGTGCCCCCTCTGATTTGGGCATTTTAACATTAGCCCTATGGGCGTTGCATGGAAAGAATGGGACCAAAAGTCGGCAGTGTCCCCCCCCCCCCTCCACTTAATTGAAGGTGTTCCGCCGCTACTGCCTCCCACCGGAGCGAGTAAACCTGTATCAATCAACGACTTTACCACCGTTGTACGTCATAATGTTCTCATCACGACAAATCAAATACCATCCGGCACCAAAATGGTCCAGTATAAAATCTGACCTACCAAAATTATGATCAAGTTCAGATAAAATCAAAGTGGGATGACAATAGCAGGTGTTCTTAAATCGATGCCGAATCAGCAGAAACCATTCACATGCAAGAGAAATACCTTGTGCTGATGCTTATATAAAAACAGACATGTAGGTCCATAAAAGGGAGCAGAG